GAAGCTACAAAGGTAGTATTTCTTTACAAGTTTCGAAATTTCCTTGATAACAAATCATGTTTTGCTTGCAATAGTTATTACTATTAAGTGTTATTTAATGCTATATAGATTAACACCTTTTTCTGCCAAATCTTTACAACTATCAGGCAGAAAATATGATAGCTCATAAGGATGAGATATACTCAAGACCAAAGAGAACCTGGTTTGCTACTGAGAAGGAAAAGAAACTTTTGGCAAAGGCTGCTAAAGTAAGTTCGCCTTAAATTGTATATATATTTCTTTGATGCCAAATTGCCAATTACATATGCAAATTCTAGCTCTCAAATTGTGCCTGCTGCCTGCTGCATGTCATTTCACAATTTCCTCTTTACCTCCTTTTACCATTTTACTCTGACAAACCCTTTTACTTCCTCCGTTTCACAATGTAAGACTTTCTAGCATTGCCCACATTCATATAGATGTTAATGAATCTAGGCATATATATGTGTCTAGATTCATTAACTTTTATATGAATATGGGCAATGCTAGAAAGTCTTACAATATGAAACGGAGGGAGTAGCTTTTTACATTGTCTTCATTAACTAAATAGACAGCCTAATGCCCTTGGTTTTGTTTTGTTCTGTCTTTCCCACAATCATTTTCTGGATTTCCATGCAGTGGCGAAGCCACCGTAGGGGCCAGGGAGGGCCAACACCCCCCTAACCCCTATGTGACCTCCCCTCCCCTCTCTTCTCCCAAGGATGATTAGCACTTATAATCTAGCTATTAATTATATCATTAGTTACAGATGAGACTAACTATATAGGATATAGGACAACTGACTTATGAAATGACTTAGCTAACTGATTTATCATTTTAGAAGTGATTGCAAGACTCCAATTAATGGAACAAACTGTTCAATCATCCATATATTAAAAATATTACTGAATTTTAAATTGGCGAATCATGATATATGGGTTCTTGTTCTCTCTTGTAGCTAATCGCTGTAACATGTATGATATCGAGTTACCGATCATGCATCAACACTACAAAATCACTGTTCACTGAACCTTAAGTGAATTACCATGTCTCGTAGATGGCACCCCCCATCTCTAAATCCTGGCTTCGCCACTGTTTCCATGTGTGTTGATTGTGACAGTAGTACCTTTCGTTGATTTGCTCACTTTTTTTTTTGGCTAATGTGATTTTAGTGATGGTTTCTGGTTTAGTTGTTCCCGATTTCATGAATAAAAGGCAGAGTCTATGTTATGGTTGTTTTTTAGGTGATAGGCCTGGTTTCTTTATTTGTACAGGTAGATGATAACAGGATAATGTAGTTACAGTTCGTTAACTGTACACCAAATGTATGTTAGGATAGAAGAAGTGGGATGAACAAAAAGATTGAATGCATTTGAATATTCTGGGCTTCAAAACCATTTGGATGTTCATTTAACTTGCCTCTATGGCTTTGGCTATTACTGCTATTCTTTAGTTGCAATTTATATGGTTATTCCCATCTTTCATGATGCTCTAATAAACCAGAAATCCTAAGTTATGCTCGTGGATGGAATCTATCCATACTTAACATATCTTGTCAGTCTTGTACATGTCGTTGATATTTGAGTTATTATTTATCAAGGAATCCACGAGTCAAGGTAAGAGTAATTCTGGAGTTATTAGCGCTCAGCAAGCTGAAGATCTTCGTCTGAAGGAGAAAAAGAGAAGGGAGCGTGAGGTATGCTTATGAACATGTTATTTGAATGAGTTGGTAATGCCCATGAGGTTTTCTTTAGTTGATGTTTTATTTTATCTTTTACTCTACAGAAAAATCTACCTAGGAAGAAACGGAGACGGTTAGAGGCAGAACGGGAGATGTTAGAAGATGAGAGCGAAGATGAGGAAGAAGCTAAGGTACATTTCCATTGATGTTGTTGATAATTATTGCATACTACTCTGGCGTTGATAACTAGTAATAATAACCATAGAAGGCATTGATAACTAGTTATTAAGTGGAAACTAGTGAGACTTATTTAGTTGATTGAATCCTGTTATTCTATATTTGGGTTTAATGCTGATGGCTGCATAAACAATTTTGTGCGACTTCTCCCTTGTCACAAATCTGCACTGTACACATCTTGAATGTTTGGTGTATCGAAATTGGTTCTTTAGGTGGTTATATGTTTTTTTATCTACTACTCCCTCTGTTTCAGGTTATAAGACTTTCTAGCATTGCCCACATTCATATAGATGTTAATGAATCTAGACACACGTATATGTCTAAGTTCATTAACATATATATGAATGTGGATAATGCTAGAAGTCTTATAATATGAAACGACGGAAGTATGATCAAAAGAATACTTGCACAAGTTAGCATCCACCTGTTGAGCTACATTTAGCCCTAAGCTTTGAAGTGCTTCCTGCAGGAAAGCAAAGGTGGGAAAAAAGAAAAGAAAGGTCAATCGCTAGTCGATGTGGCTTATCGTAGAGCAAAATCAATGAAGGCCAGCGGTAAAAGGGGTGCTGGCACTGGCAAAGGAAAGAATGATAAAAAGGCAAAACAACATTCTGGAAAGGGCCCAACTAGGCAAGAGGAGATGCAAGAGTTGTTCCAGAATGATATGAGTGAATGGAAGCAGGGCCGCTCCTTAAAGAAAAATAATGTTATGCGAAAGAAATCGAAAAATTCTTTTAAGAGCAAATCCAGGTATGTAACAATGTTATTGCCTGCCCTTGTATTTAATCGAAAAATACACCTTAGCATATTTTTTATCATACAAAACTACTGTCTAATTCATTTTATTACCACTGACGCTAATACTAGGGTCCCCAAAATTTCTAAATGAGAGTTCCACTTTCCTTTTTCAGGTACAACCGCCGAAAGTAGAAGACCCGCTAACTTGTAGTAGCGTGTTTTCCTCACTGGGAATTTATTGCATTCCCTTGTATCAATTTTGACCGACTGATCCTGAAGAAATGTCAGGATATGTTGTGCCCATCTTGTATTTACTAGTTATATACAATTTTCTCATATCGTGCATTAATCACATTCGTCATGATTTTTAATGTAATGACCTGTGAGGTCCATCTACATGTGGCTCTGTTCGTTTGCCTAGGTTGGGAGCCCTTCCCTCCGGCACTGAAAACGGAGCAGTCCAATAGTGCGTGATTAATTAATTATTTGCTAATTTTTTTTTTCAAAAATGGATCAATATGATTTTTTAAAGCAACTTTCGTATACAAACTTTTTGCAAAAAACGCACCGTTTATTAGTTTGAAAAGCGTGCGCGCGGAAAACGAGGAGGGGGAGTTGGGAACCATGACATTCGAACAGAGCCCACTTTAGAAGTGTTTCTCAAATTTGCATCCGAGGCTTTACTTGAATCCACTGCTCATCCTTATGAATACCAGTGCCCATTGTTGGTCAGCCTTGTTTTCACTTGTAATGTTTATGCAAGAGCTCTGCTGAACAATGGCATGCCGACCAATTGCAGGGCTGGATCAAGTTTGCTGCCACCAGGGATTGAAATTTCAGAACGAAATTTTCAAAATTTTGATAATTTTGTCCCCCACCGGAAAGCACATGTCTCGCCTGTAATTTTCAGCTGTTTGTAATTTTTTGTGAATTTTGTCCAAGTTTATTTAAAATCATTTAAAATTAGTCAAATTTTTAAATAATTTCGGCCAAAAGTACCGAAATTTCGGTGATTTTGTGAATTTCAAAAACTCTATTTCGAAATCGAAAACCCTGGCTGCCACTTTTGCATTGCAATGTTTTGCAGTTTTGTCATTCAGCTGGAGTTTCCTTGCCTGGAAGGCAAACATGTATGGTCTCTTTCGAAAGACATCATCCATTCCATCACTCTTTTCTGAAAGCCTGCAATATCCTCCCATCACAGACACACATCCCAATCTCTCCCAGATCACTTGCCTGTGCTGTAAAGTATGATCCTTCTTGCATGAGACCATACCATTTTCTCTAAAGTACTCCCTCGAACATTTCCTAATACTACGAATCTGGACAGCTAGAAAATGTCCCATCCAATCCTAGTTTCTTATATATTGGGACGGAATACATTGGAACGGAGGGAGTACTCTTCTTTCGATTCGGTGGTCCTGCTCTGCTCACTTTGCCTGCACCGAACTGCCAATGCTCATTGTCGATCATGTACCGCAACATGACAACAAAAGAGACAATCCAATGTTGTTTCATGTTGCATATTACACCCCACTAAATCACGTGTGGTACATGTGCACGCTACAACAAGTGTATGTGCTTCCCTGGTGATAAATATTTGATCTTTAGAAAGGAAAAAAAAAATCCGGTCGAACTTTTAAGAATCTGACCATAATGATTTCTCAAATGTTGAGGCTAAAAGACAAAATAGACCGATTCATAGTATTCATGGACTTAAATGTAATAATCTAAATAATTGGTCGGAATAATTTTAATTATTTGATTGAATCTTATGTTAAATATTTTTAAATTCAGCCTTACCGTCCATAACTTCCTCCATTTTATATTATAAGTTGCTTTGACTTCTTCTAATCAATTTCTTTCATATTTAACTAAATCTATTGAAAAAAGCTAGCAACATCTACAACATCAAATTTAGTAAAACTAGTATTTAATATAATTTGATAATATGTTTATTTTGTGTTGAAAATGTTACTCTATTTTTCTGTAAACTTGATCAACCTTTTTCTAAAAAGTCAAAGTAAATTATAATATGTAACAGATGGAGTATATATATAGGGGAAACTATTTTGATCTCTCAAATTGATGTCCCCTCGTTTGCTTAAAAACCATCTAAGCAGTTATGAAACATTCTGGAAATATTTGACAACACTCATACAACGTATCTATACAACTCCACAAAATCTTAAGTGTAAACTCAACTCACAAGTCGAGATATAAAAAAGGCAATTCTTTTTTTTCTCGTTACGCAGGTCGAATTTGAAGTTGATTTTTAGTGGACTAATAGATATCACCGTGCTCTACATTGTTAATTAATTTATTTATTTTTCACAACTATTATATCGAATTTGATAGAAAAATATACATGAGGGGACATCACTTTGAGAATACACTCCCTATATATATATAGTGACAACTTCAGAATGACTACGTACATTCTAATGTGGGCTCGTCTTGGAAACCTTGATCAGAGGAACTGATCATCAGTAGTGATCCAAATGGCGTCGTGGCGGAGGACGGCCGAGGAGAGCTCGTGGGTGGTGGAGGTGGAGAAGGCTGTGCGCAGCGGCGGCGGCACCGACGGCGACCCGTCGGCGGAGGAGGCGGCGTGGTGGCGGCGCCACTCCATCTACCGCGTCCCGGCGTGCATCAAGGACCTCAACCGCCGCGCCTACCAGCCGCAGGTGGTGTCCCTCGGCCCCTTCCACCACGGCGACCCGAACCTCCTCCCCATGGAGGACCACAAGCGCCGCGCCCTCCTCCACTTCCTCCGCCGCGCCGCCCCGCGCCGGCGGCCGCTCGCCGAGTTCGCCGCCGCCGTCGCCGACGCCGCCGAGCAGCTGGTCGGCACGTACCAGGGCCTCGCCGACGAGTGGCGGCGCGGCGAGCCTGAGAAGGAGAAGAGGGAGGCGTTCTTGGAGATGATGGTGACCGACGGGTGCTTCCTGCTGGAGGTGATGAGGACGGCGGCGGGGTGGGAGGTGAGCGACTACGCCGACGACGACCCGGTGTTCAGCGCCCACGGGCTGCTCTACACCGTGCCCTACATCCGCCGCGACATGATCATGATCGAGAACCAGCTGCCCCTCCTCGTCCTCGACAAGCTCGTCGCCGTCGAGAGCGGCATACAACAGGTAACAGCGACTAATTAATTAAGCTAGTATTAATTAATTATCCTAGTACCAGTGAAAGTAAACTAGTTGACCTTTGATCACGTTGCTAATTAAGCTTGGTAAACAAATTGATCGTTCATTAGAAAAAGACTAGAACTATATATTGGAGTAGTTTGTTAATTAAGTAGAAGATCCAGAAAGCTACAAAGACCTCAAAGGGTAGTCACATTCTTCTTTATGAATTGCTTGCAAGCTTTCCTTTTTATTTTATGCTTTTACTTTCGGGCTTCGGCCATGCATATCCATCATGCATGCATGTACCAACCAAAAGTAAAAGCCGGGTGATTGATCCAACTGTTAGGTTATACGCAATGATACAAATGGAGTACATCCGATCTCATTATCTCATATATAATCACAATGAATTTGGTAATTAGCAATAAAATGAAGTTGTTAAACATTTGATAATTGATACTACTAGGTTATTATATTACTAGCTGATACCTGTTCTTGAAATGCCTGCACGCATGCAAGCAGAACGAGGACTACATCAACAGGTTAGTGCATAACTTCCTGTCGCCGACGGCGTGGCCTCCGGTGACCGGCGTCGGGCTGGCGCTCCACCCGCTCGACATCCTCCGCCGGAGCCTCCTATTCGGCCCGGCGCCGTCTCCCCGCGCGCCGGCGCCGGAGACGGCGCCCACCGACGACATCATCCGGTCGGCGGAGGAGCTGTACGAGGCCGGCATCCGGTTCCGCCGCAGCCCGACGAGCAGCCTCCTCGACATCCGTTTCCACCGCGGCGTGCTCAGCCTCCCCGCCATCGCCGTCGACGACACCACCGAGTACATGCTCCTCAACCTCATGGCGTTCGAGCGCCTCCACGCCGGCGGCTGCGGCGGCGGCGGAGGCAACGACGTGACGGCGTACGTGTTCTTCATGGACAACATGATCGACTCGCCGCGCGACGTGGCGCTGCTGGCGGCGCGGCGCGTGGTGCACAACACGCTGGGGAGCGACAAGGCGGTGGCGAGGATGTTCAGCGGGCTGTCGCGCGACGTGGTGCTGGAGCCGCGGAGCGCGCTGGACGGCGTGCACCGGGAGGTGAACGCCTACTGCCGGCGGCGGTGGCACCGGTGGCGCGCCAACCTGGTGCACACCTACTTCCGGAGCCCCTGGTCGCTCATGTCGCTCGCCGCCGCCGTCTTCCTCCTCGTCTTGACCGTCATGCAGACCGTCTACACCGTCCTGCCATTCTACCAGGGTGGCAATAATTGATGGCACGTATATATGTCTCGCGTACGCATTGGCCTTTGTTTGGATTGGCTCACTTTTCACTGAGAAGATGTTCTGTTTTGTTTTGCTTTCTGTTTGATCGATCGTCGAAATATTCAAATCTTTGGATTTTATCTGGTCAAAGTTTATTCAAATACATTCAAAATATGTTAAATTTCAATAGATTTTGGTTCGAGAAGTGTCCAAAATAATGAAATCTTGTAAATTTCGGTCCTATCAAAATCGCTGAAATTTTTACTACTAAAAAACTCATTTTCGGCGTCGTAGGGGATCGATTTTCGCAGGCGGGCATGTAATTCGGAGCCAAAACCCCGCCGGCAAAAATAGTACCCGGGGTGGAGGGGGCGGTCCGCCTGCGAAGATCGATCTTCGCAGGCGACGCTTATATGGCCCGCCTACAAAGATGCCCCTATATAGTCTTCTTCCTTCCCGAGCCCTGTTCATTCTCCCCGACGTTTCTCTCTCCTAAAGTGACTTAAATATAGGGGGGCAGGTTTTGAACTACAAATCTTCGGGGGAATTTTCTACGGTACTTAGATCTACTCATTTCCACACTAGGTATGCAATTTTTTAAGCTTTTAGACCTTAATTTGTGATGGATTTATGCATCCAAAATTGTGAAGGAAGAGCTCCATGTTTTTTAATTTTATTTTTTTTCATATGTTGATGTTAAATGTATGTGTAATACTTGATGCCTCTTATTGTAGTGGTTTAATGTGGTAACATAAATTCTCATTTTTTTTATTTTTGCTATCACATCCACCACCTAGTTCTAGATCTAGATCTAGATCTTGTCATATATATATATAGAGAGAGAATAAAATTTTAAATGTCTATTTATTCGGTGCAATCAAAAAATAGTTATAGTATTTTGTAATATGCCGATGATATGATTTTGTTAGATTTTCCTAATGTACTAATTTGGCATGACTATGTAAAAAAATTGAAATAAACTTTGATTTTTTATTACTTTACACTTAACCTTTAGTTAATTAGTTTTGAATAACGATAAGTTTTTCAATAAACCCTACAAATTTGGTATTAATTGTGCAAATATTTTACGTGTATTTTTTTAGAGATATGGAAAGTCGGGAATGGATGTATCATTGGCCGAGGTTTTTCTCTCCATATAGAAACAAAGTGGCTAAATTTATTGGTATTACCAAGGCACACGCTGAGAAGAATAATATGAGGAAGATAATTTATCCATGTGCTGACTGTAAGAATGAAATAGCCTGGGACTTTGACGATGCTTTTAAAGTAAAGGAGCACTTAGTAACTCGTGGATTTATGGACAAGTACGAAATATGGACACGGCATGGCAAAGAACAAGTGGACGGGCCTGAAAGTGTAGTTCCGACACAAGTTGAAGATATGGTGCATGACGATAGTTCTGTTGAGGACAAAATCGACCTAGAGGAAATGTTACGTCATGCAGAACCCGAGGTGCTGATGGGGTCGGCTAGAGGGTTAAATAACTTTGAATCTTTACAGAAGGCAGCAAAGGAAGTTTTGTACGATGAGTCGAAGGGCTGTGACAGTGAGTTCACAACACTCCGGTCAGTTCTTGATCTTATGAGGTTAAAGGCGAGACATGGATGGTCTGATACCAGTTTCGACAGTCTGTTAGAACTTCTGCAGAAAATGCTACCGAGGCCTAACTCACTACCATCCAGCACATATCAAGCAAAGAAACTCATATGCCCCCTTTCACTTAGTGTGGAAAAGATTCATGCATGCGTAAATCACTGCATACTGTACAGGAAAGAGTACGCTTCTTTAGATGAATGTCCAACATGCGGTGCAAGCCGATACAAGTCGAATAGCAATACTGGCCTAGAACCCTCTGAAGCAACTGAGGGACGACAGAGAAAAATCCCGCAGCTTGTGATGTGGTACCTTCCTGTCAAAGACCGCATTAAACGGATATACTCAAACCCTCGAGATGCGGAACTAATGCGCTGGCATGAAGAAGGGCGCAAGAAGGATGGGATGATTCGACACCCGGCAGATGCTCGTCAGTGGATAAACTTTGATGCTTACGGAACATTAGATTTGCCCTGAGTACTGATGGAGTTAATTCTTTTGGAGACATGAGCAGTTCACATAGTACTTGGCCAGTGCTTCTCACCATGTATAATCTTCCTACCTGGCTTTGTCAAAAGCGAAAATACGTACTACTCTGTATCCTCATACAGGGACCCCGTCAGCCTGGTATTGATATAGACGTATTTCTTGAACCATTGTTGGAAGATATGGCTGATTTATGGAAAGAGGGATTGAAAGTGTGGGACGAGTACTTAAGGGAATACTTCACAGTGAAGGCCATCATCTTCGTGACCATTAATGATTATCCAGCAATGTTTTTCAGTTTCAGGTCAAATTAAAGGTAAAACAGGATGTGTGATCTGCTTGAATGGAACGTACTATAGGTATCTCCCGGGTTCCAACAAGCTTGTGTACATGCGGCACCGGCGGTTCCTACGCACAAATCACAAGTACCGCAAGATGAAGGCGGAGTTCGATGGTACTGAAGAGACTGATCCTGCACCAAAACCTACATCGGGAGAAAAGGTGTGTGCAATGACAGAGAAAATTGTTTGCGAGTTTGGAAAAATGACTAAGAAACCATCAAAGGGGACAAAGCGCAAGAAACCCGAGAAGAATACGAAAGGAGGGGATAGTAAGAAGCAAGATGACAGTACGAAGCCAGATGATAAACTCCCTCCCCATTCAAGAAGCATTCCATATTTTTTAAGTACCTCCCGTACTGGAAAGATCTGGAGATTCGGCATGCCATAGACGTCATGCATCTAGAGAAGAATGTGTTTGACAACATAGTTGGAACATTGTTGGACATGCCGAAGAAGACTAAAGATGGTCTGGAATCAAGGATGGACCTAGTCGAGATGGGAATCAGGGAAGAGTTACACCCTCAAGAAGGAGAAAAGAATGGCAAAGTATATCTTCCACCAGCCTGTTTCACACTGACCCTGAGGAGAAGAAGTCATTTTGCAACTCACTCCGTGATGTCAGAGTGCCCATAGGTTTCTCATCAAACATCAGTCGACTAGTTTCAATGAAAGATTTGTCGGTATCTGGTTATAATTCACACGACTGCCATGTCTTGCTCACTGTGTTTCTTGCAATTGCAATAAGAGCCATACAACCGGAGCATTTAAAGGTTACTATCATAAGGTTGTGCTACTTTTTCAACGCAGTGTCACAGAAGGTCATTAGTCTCAAAGAGTTAGGAAATCTCCGTACATTCGCACATGAGACCCAGTGCCAACTTGAGATGTGTTTCCCTCCGTCATTTTTTGATATGATGGAGCACCTCATTGTTCACATTGTGCCGCAGATGGTTGCGCTTGGCCCATTGTACCTCCATCAAATGTGGTCATACGAGCGTTACATGGCGGTTCTGAAGGGTTACGTCCGAAATCGTGCACATCCAGAGGGATCAATGGTTAAGGGTTATAGTACTGAAGAGGTTGTCGAGTGTTGTATCGATTACCTCAAAGATGGATATGCAATTGGAGTACCTGTGCCCCGACACGAGGGCAGATTGAGTGGCAGGGGAAAAAAAGGAAAGAAGAGATTCGTCACCCATGATCACAAATCATTCCAAGAAGCTCACTTCAGCGTGCTTCATCAGTTTGCTATCGTCGAGCCGTACATCGATCAACATATCGAACTAATACGAGCTAACAATAAGGGTCGCTCCACCGAGTGGATAATGAAAGAACACAAGCGTCTCTTCATAGATTGGTTGCGAGACCTAGACTTACCTGAGGGAGAAACTACCGATGAAATAACTATGAAGCGGTTGGCTTGTGGTCCATCAACTACAGTAAATTCTTGGCAGGGATATGACATTAATGGATATTCGTTTAGCACAAGAGCCCGAGATAATAAGACCTGTACGCAAAACAGCAATGTCCGTGTGGAGGCAATTGATGAAGCCGGGGAAAAACAATCATACTTCAGGTTTATTGAAGAAATATGGGAAATCGATTATGGGCACACAATGCAATTCCCCATATTTAAGTGCCAGTGGGTAAAATACCCGAACGGGGTCAATGTTGATAAGTTCGGTCTTATTGTTGTTGACCTTGCGAGTGTGGGTCACAAGGATGACCCTTGGGTACTCGCTAATCGCGTGGCACAAGTGTTTTACGTGAAAGACCCTTCAAATTTGAAGAAAGACATAGTGCTACCAGGGAAACAAAAGATATTAGGAGTGGATGGGGTTGAAGATGTCGAAGATTACAACCAATACGATAGTATGCCACTTTATAGTCAGTTTGTACAGAAGATTAAGAATGTCCAGACATCTACTCAGAAGACCGTGAAGCCTTACATGCGCACGGACGGTGTGGGCAAAAATGTTAAAGGGTAATGATTGTTGAATGGCATGTAATATGTAAGGTGATGTGTGATCATATCGCAAATTGACGAACAATTGTACTCAACATTTTGCATATTAATTAGTCCATACTAATTTTTATGTGCAATTACCATTTGAAGTGTAAAAATTTAGTTAAAAAATTTAAAATTAGTAATATTTGAAAAGTGTAATTATTTTTATGTGCAATTACCAGTTTGTTAAAAAGATCTTCGCAGGCGAACGGCCCGCTTGCGAAGATAGTAAAAAAGATCTTCGCAGGCGGACGGCCCGCTTGCGAAGATAGTAAAAAAGATCTTCGCAGGCGGACGGCCCACCTGCGAAGATAGTAAAAAAGATCTTCGCAGGCGGACCGCACGCCTGCGAAGATCTTTGCCCTATATAAGGGCAAGCCCACGGCGCCAAAATTTCTAAGTCCAGGCGGAAACCCTAGAAATTTTGGTGCCGTCAGGCTGCCGAAATTTTTCACCGCCGCCCGCCTCCGCCGCCGCCCGCCTACGACCTTCACTCTCCGACCGTCGTCCTCCGCCGCCGCCGACCGTCGTCGTCCACGCACTGCCACCGAGACCGTCGTCCTCCGCCGCCGCCGACCGTCGTCGAGCACTCTGCCGCTGCCGCCGCCGACCCCTCCACCGCGCGCCCGCTCCACCGCCGCCGGCTCCTCCACCACGCACGCGGCCGCCGGTGGCCCCTCCACCGCGCGCCCGGCCGCCGCTGGCCCTTCCACCGCCGCCGGCCCCTCTACCGCCGTCGGTCACCCCTTCACCGGCACCGGCCGTCGGCCCCTCCA